CGGATTTAAGTCGGTCTGCACGGTAGGTGCAGTGGCTCGGCAACTGGCTGCCGTACAACGTGTCGCGGGTTCGATTCCCGCACGGCACTCTTTTGCGTGATCCATATTTTCATCCAAATTGTTATTCCGGGTCTCAGTGTCATGTGTATGTGATATTGTAACCGCACTGACGGACACAGGTTAAAATACTAGGGAAGGGCAATGTTTTTTTTATTAAAAAAAAGAACAATGTACGCAAGAGTCTCTCTCTCCCTCCTCTAAGACTCCCTCTTGCCTTACACCGGGTGAGAAAAGACTGTTAATGATTTTCCACCACAAAAAAAAGTATTTAGGTACATATTTAAACTGCATATTTACTTAAACTCATATCTAAATAAAAAGTAACATAATAGTAGGACCTTATTAAAGGCTCTTAAATGCCAAAAAAAATCGGAAAAGCACTAAGGAAATTCTCAAAATAATAACAAACACAAACAGAACATACAAACAAGAAACTTATTTTGGGTTTTAAGATCCGGCAAACCCAACATGCAGTAGGTAAGAATATGTGGGTTAAATAAGGAAATAATAATTACTCAGGTATATTAAGTATAAAGTCTTTGTTGTATTTTTACCTTATGATATTAGTAATCACACGATTACGTCCGAAAAACTATAAAAGACCAAACAAGCCAAACGACAAGACAAATGCTTAATTGTTTTCAAGTATTATAAGTTATGTTATTACAAGTTATGTAGATACTTTAAGGAAAATTTAAAACGATATTCAAATCCATTTTCAGGTTTAGTAGCGACAAGAACATATACAGAAACAATTTTAAAAATCCCTTTAGAATTTAGAATTTAAACATTCCTTTAGAATTTAGTATTTAATGATTATTTTACAATTTTTATAATTAACTAGGTATTTATATTTTATCTGGACTCATTTTGTTAAGGCACAAATTCATGGAACTCCTAATTCGAATTTTAATTTGAAATTTAAGTCTTAAATAAATAAACATAAAAGAGTTTATAGGGTTTAAAAAGAGCCAATAAGATTCGAGTATTGGGTGAAACCACGCGGCTACCAGCCAGCTAGTTCAAACGTATAAATAAATAAAATAGTGCATAACCAGACGCAGTCATAATGTCTCGTGAAATGTAGATACATTCGTGTAAGTAAAACTAAAAGTCTTTGATGATAATCCAGACTTGGACGGTCGCCAATCGAACGGGTTTCTAAATTAGACGAAAATGCACTGTATCTATTTACATTTACATTAATAAAATTATAGCCACGCTACCCAGTCCTTGTTACTATGCACTAACCAAAGCTCTAACATCGAGTGGATATAAAAAATTAATAGCCAAAGAAATGAGAATTAGGTAGCTTCATTCGTTTTATGTCCCACGCTTACCCAGATCTACATAGGCCATAAAAGATGCTCTGATCTTTGGTCTAGTCTTTTAGCTTTAAACCAAAGAAAAATATCTAACAGTATTTTGAGGGGGAAAATCATGAAATAACTTCTCTTGCCCAGAGGAGAGAGAGAGTCAGACTCTTACTGACTAACAACCATCCCGTTCGTTCTCCAGCTCCCATACGTGATGGTCTATTGGCTGTTTGAGGCGCGTGCGGAACGCTATTCGCCGTAAGCTCGGGGCTGGTTCTATTCGGGTGGCGAGCTACCATTGCTTAGAGTCATGTACCGCGACCCCGGCCTGTTTTAGTTAGTAAAAGTCTGACTCTCTTGCCCCAACCAATCAACCAGGATAGGAGAAGAAACAAGATCATTTTCCCCTTGAAAAATCACATGGGCCAGACATTTATAAACAATGCATATAATATAAACTTACAAGGAGTTGTGAAAGATACCTCTAAACAAAATTATCTTTAAAATTTCCTCAAACGTCCTTCTTTTTTAGGATTCCGTACCACGTGTACCTAAGAACTCCGTTGCCTGCCCGTCTATCTGCCTGTCTGGTAGTGTCCCCGGGTTATATCTACGACGGATAATATATTTCAGGTGTCACTATAACAAAAATAAAATAAATATTTAAAGAGGAGAACATACCAATTTGCATGAAACCCTTTAGGTATTTGCGAGGCCAACTCGTAGACATTTGATTGTGTAATTTTAACTGTTGCTACTTATATACTTATTATAATTATATAAGTGCATATGTATAAACCCCATTTTACAGGTTTATGCTAAGATATTATTAATATAGGTATAGATCGATGTTGCTCACTTTTCAAGTCACTGCATTACGTAATCGTAGATACACATGTGTCTAGTTGACAGAGATCGTAGACGGTGATCCTATTTATTTCTATTTAAAAATTCCATACTTAGTTATATACTTACCTACTCAGAATCCAATACCTAAATAATTCGCTGCAGTTTTAAGGAAAACGGTCATAAAATGTGTGATAATTATACGATAATATGTCTTTCCAATTGGGGAAAAATTGTTAAAAAATTTGGTGGTGGGGAAATTTTTTGAGAAAACTAATTATAAGAAATATATAAGGTAGGTAAGTATTTTTCGATTGTACTTAACAAAGAGTTTGTGTAACTACCGGTTTTGGCTAAATAATTAAAGTGCTATAAGTAAACTTATAATTTCGCCTCGTCAATTAAGGTAAATATACCAGTCTAATATTAGAAAAATACTCTAAGGTGCGTATATACTTAAATAAAGATATTGACTTCTATTTCTAAAAAAAATCTAGGAGCCCGTCACTCCTGAGTACCTACATATTTAAATTTTTCGCCAGACAAACTACGTATAATATAAGTAGGTATATGCTATAAGTTCTACGGAATTTCGACAAATTGAAAAAGGTACCTAAGTATTTATTTCGCCACATCTCCACTAAATCTGCATCACTTCAATAACATAATTCTTTAGACTGTATTTGAAACTCTATTGACGTGGTAGCAGGGCTAAAGGCTACTTGATTGATGAGGAAAATTATCTGCTAATAATGTACAACATTCCAAACATTCCTAACCACAACATAACATTAAATCTATCTTAGCAACGTGTACCACCAACGAGTTCACGCTCATTTACGATGCGCAGGCACTCAACCACATTGTCGCCGCAAAATTAACTGGAAATGCAATTAAAAATGTTGGCGTTCCGTCAAAGTGTACCGAGTACCACATCATTCGGCCGCCGATACTAAACACGGTCTATTTTTTATTAATCCAGTGTCGACCGACGTTTTGAGTTCAGTCGAAAATAACCAAGTTCTCCAGAGTAGCGGACCTATGCTCCAGTAGCCGAGATTGGTGAAGCGGAAGATATCGTGATTTTATTACATCGTTAATACTCGTGAACGATAATACTCCGGCGTAAATAAAACATTTGGTGTAGGTTAGTACGTCTGTGGTAACTACACATTCTACAATGACCCATTACTCAGCTACTAAACTCTAAACAAAGTCTGAATAGGTTATCTAACTTGATTTTAAATTTCACTGACGTGAGAAAGCCAAATGAATTACAAATTATAAGTAGTACGAAAGGTAGATTAATTTAATGGTAATCATAAAGAAATTTTCAATAATCCTAAACTATCAATAACATAACGATGAGAAGATTAAAGAGAGAAATCTAATGACCTAACGCAAATTGATTCTCGTAATTGGCTCTAAGATAGAATACCTAAGAATTGTTACATACCTATGTAAGATTTTCATTGTAAGAACCTAATAACTTTTATGAATCCTATGTAGATAATTCATTAGGAAACGAGGTCTTCAAACCAATAAAACTTTTACGATCCCCTCTAATCCCACGGTAAGTTTTGATTTAGTTAAAAATATTAGTTTGTTTTATATGACCAGATGTATTCATAACATTCGCATTATATTACTTATGCTCTTGCAGACCTCATCTTACTCATCGATATCGAAAATAGAATAATGGAACTACCTTTAACTAGACTGCCAGACTCGTCTTATTATCTAGTTTTATATTTTAAACTCGAGTGTCTCAGCTTTACTCATAAATCATCTACTACTCTAAAATAAATTTACCTAACATCTATTGGAACTTTAATTACGATATCAGAAGCTTAGTGTGTACTGTTAGTGACTAAACGCACCCACGACACAGGAGAAAATCCAGAGTGTGGTGCAACGTTTTTTATAAAAAAAAAAGTCTGCTACTGGCTTGTCCCCCCTCTCCACCTTTCTTCCTTCTCCCGCTTTGGGACTAGGCCGTGGTACCTTATTATGCTAGTCCCGCAACCCCGGCTGCGTTGGGCTTAGCCTGCAGAAATGTATAACATTATGTTACTTACACGATTTCGGGCACTCTTTTAGCGTGTTAGCAGTTGGAAAACTAGAACTGAGTAAAGTTTATGAATCGGCTAATAAGGTAGTTACTAACTGACAATGTCGTGGTGGCCCGGAGGTTAAAGCACCCGCTTCTCATGCATGAGGGTGCGGGTTCGAAACCTGGCAAGTACCAATGTGACTTTTTCCGAGTTATATGTACTTTCTATGATTATTTAGACACCACTGACATACGGTGAAGGTAAACAATGTGAGGAAACCTGGACTTATAATTTCTAATTATAAGTTTGAAATCGCCAACCCGCATTGAGCAAGCGTGGTGATTAATGCTCTAACCTTCTCCGTATGAGAAAAGGCCTTTGCTCAGCTGTGGGCACTTATAGGCTGATGATGAATAAGGTCGTTAAGTTGTTAAATTCATCATATGCTCTTAATATTACCCTTTATTGGACCACTTTTAGTTCAGCACGCTACGGCTGTTACTAGTTACTTAACCGGACCGGATATTATAGTCCTCATTAATGATATTTAATTATTAAAAATGATTTAGTAGGTATCAAAAATCGTTCCGCCAATTGTGATTTTAAGACTTGAAAATTAAAAACCGCAGTTCTAAACTTGTGGATAAATATCCTTGTGGTTAAAAAGTTTATGTCAAAATATTTAAAAAAGTATAAAATATTGTCTATGTCTCTTGTTTTCTTTCGTTATGATTGGTTACAATTTTCTGATTGTAATAATGCGAGCAGCTGATTGGTGTTATATTTACACATATACATTTGCACCAATTATCACGCAGTTTGTAAACGGAAACAAACCATGTGCTAACATGGCGATTTTTCATCGTTCTTCGTATGTCGTTTGATAATTATTGCGTGGCTGTTATGGGAATTTGGTTTAATCGTGCAATATTTTATCTTTTTGACACATTTTCTTTGTTTTGTTCAAAATAATTACATCGGGGAAAAATGAGTGTCGATGCTTATGGACCGAGCTCACAAACACTCACGTTTTTGGATACTGAGGAAGCGGATCTTATTGGGGCTGATACTCAGGGCTCGGAATTCGAATTCACCGACTTCACCCTTCCATCTCAGAGCCAAACACAGGCTTCCCAACATGATCATGGCTTGTCATCTTCAAATCAGGTAAGTGAAAACATAGTTCAATATTTTTGTTTTTCCTCTAACCTTATTTTGATGAATACGTAACTACGTAAACTGGCTCATAAATATTTTAATTGCTATGGTTTTTATTACAGGTGAACGGTTTAGGTCGTTCTGATTTGTCATCCAAAGTGTCCAATGTGACGAATGCAATAGCAGAATTGCAATTTGAGGAAGAAGATGAAGCCTTGTACAGCAAGGAGTTGCCTGACCACGCGTGCAAATACTGTGGCATACATGATCCGGCCACTGTTGTCATGTGTAATATTTGCAACAAATGGTGAGTCAATATGTCAGAGTCTAACACTATCCAGGCTACATCGTTATTGTCATATCAAACAAAACAATGGTATTCTCCAAAGTACAACTTCTGTAATAATATGCAACAAGGTTTAAGGTCACAGAGTAAGAATATACTGCAATGCTGTACTTGTAAACTATACTGAAGAACTAAAGAAGAACTTTAGTTTTACCCACATTACAAGGTCAACATCAATTGATGACAGACATTTCCATATTCATAACATTATACTGCCATTTACTTTACCCTCCAACAATTTTTAATTTGAAGAATGTAAATGTATTTTTTCAATATGAATTACCATAACAATGTCTAATTAGCATTACTTGAATATTTTTAAGTTCAATTTGAACATGATGATACAAAAGCAAGGAACTTTGTTGTGCTTAATTTAAAAGTGTACTTTATAATTATTATAATCTTAAAACAACCTTGGCTTCTGTCTTTCAATAAATGTGCATGAGAAATAAGTTGTCATAACTATATAAATAACCTACAAGTTGCAATGGCCATATCTAGCAATGATAAATGTATGAGTCAAGTAGATCTACTCAAGTAATACGGTTACTGACATAGATTTAAGTTAGCTTTTGAAATTACCTCTTAATTCATCTGTTGCTTGATTCTAATGAGTCAAATACAAATTGTATTAAACCTAATCAGTGCGAGTAGTGTATAATGTTCACTGTTGATTCTAATCAGTATATTACTCTGCTTCATATAATTGTGTTATTTGTCAACTAGGGCATATTAATCCCTAAACAGATACCAGTGTCCTCTCTCATCCTCTAACACCATTATTAAATGAAATAATCTAAAAACTTGTGAACAAAATTAATTTAATCACAATTTATGATTAATTCTTTTGAAATCATAGGCAAGAAAGACTGACACACATATTAGATAAGACCTGTTTCATAATGTCTGATAGCTATGTACCAGATAAATTTTCATAATAATATGTATAATGTAGTGTGTATTAACTATCTTTCACATATGTTATTGGATTCCTTTATTCTATAGGTGGTAAAATAGGCCCTTAGTCTAATAAATATAATGGAAAAGCAAATATGATTACGAATTTTCAACATAATGTTGAATTTATATTTTAGGTTCTGCAATGGCCGTGGGAACACCTCCGGCTCACACATTATCAACCATTTGGTTCGTGCCAAGCACAAGGAAGCCGCTTTGCATAGAGACGGCCCACTTGGGGAGACATTGCTGGAATGCTACTCATGCGGTGCCAGGAATGTATTTGTTCTTGGCTTTATACCAGCTAAGGCGGATTCTGTTGTTGTATTGCTTTGTCGGTAAGAAACCATTTTTAAATATAGAATAAATAAACTTTTGATGTAATATCTTACATAATGTTATGGCAATATTCAAGTTTTGAAACAACAAATATATGATTTTGATTGAATAACAATTTTCTAAAATTATTCACAATATTATTAAAGTACTAACATTAATAGTACTATTTTATTCAAATTGTTAATATACTTTATTGCACACTACATAGTTACATAGATTAACAAACATTGTGTGTACAATGGTATAATGATGCAAGATGTGAATGGGGGTGATAAATTTTGTTTGTATTTTTCAGTCAACCATGTGCAGCTCAAAGCTCCTTGAAGGACATGAACTGGGACCAAGAGCAATGGAAACCTTTGATCTGTAAGTTAATTGTTAAAGAAATCTATTTATAAATAAAAGAAAAAAATATGTCACAAGTCATAACTTCATTAATTATTCAATTAAGAGTGTTATCTTGTTAGTTATGTAAGAAATATTTATAATTTACAGCTGACCGAGCCTTTCTATCTTGGCTGGTGAAAGTACCTTCTGAGGCAGAGCAGATGAGAGCTCGTCAGGTAAGTCCTCTGACTACTTACCTACTTATGATAACAATAAGATTTAAGATAGGGTCTTAAATCGTAATGACAATGCAATGCATTTGCAACTTTTAGTGTAGCAGGTGTCCAAAAATTGGGCAGTTGAAACAATAAAAAAATAACTATGAAGTTGAATGAAACTAAAAATAAAAATGTTTTTACTTCTAGGTGACTCCCCAGCAAATAGGACGCCTTGAAGAGCTGTGGCGAGACAATGTGGATGCCACCTTCCAAGATTTGGAGAAGCCTGGCGTAGATGAGGAGCCTCATCAAGTACTTTTGAGGTTAGTTTAAAATCAACTCTTATGTAAAGAACACAAAACCTTATGTGCATTACAATTTGTAGAAATTTGTCCATGTAATGCCCATTACTTCTTGGATGTGACTGATCATGTTTTATCATTTATATAGTATTTTTGTAAAAGTCATATCCCCCAAACATTTATTTACAGGAAAAACTTTAAATACATGAAACCAATCTCCATTTATCTAAAACATGTTAAACATTACACAATAACCAATACGGACTCCAATTTAATAGGTTTGTAACCAACCATTCTTTTATTTAGCAATTGTCCAATTTATATAAAAAACTATTATTTGTTTTGCAGATATGAAGATGGTTATCAATACCAGAACATCTTTGGTCCTCTGGTGAAGTTAGAAGCTGATTATGATAAGAGGCTAAAGGAGTCTCAGACTCAAGAAGGCATTGAGGTCCGTTGGGATGTCGGTCTTAATAAGAAAACCATTGCATACTTCACCCTGGCTAAGACAGATAGTGATATGAAGTTGATGCATGGAGATGAGCTTAGACTGAGGTACACTATATTACAATACATTTTTTTTCAAAATTATTGCCCTTTTAAGAGTAAGATCAAACATATGTCCTCTTTATTTGATAGTCAGTTGTTTCACTGGCCAACAGACCACTGAGATTCTATTTTGATACTTCCTAGAACTGTATTTTTATGAAATTATTTCAATAATTTTAACAAATGCTTCCTGTAACGATTTCTAAATTGTTTGGAATGGAATACTTCAATAAGTATCAAGAAAGAAAGACAGTCCTAGTTACTTTTAACTATAAAGCAGAAATTTACATAACTGATAAGATAAAAATCGATCAATTGCTGAGGAAATCACACCCATTTCAGATATGTAGGTGAGCTGCATAAAGCGTGGTCGGGTGTGGGTCACGTGATCAAGGTGCCGGACAACTATGGCGATGACGTCGGCCTTGAACTGAAAAGCGGCGCCGGCGCACCGCTCGATTGCACCTCCAACTTTGTTGTTGACTTCATTTGGAAAAGTACTTCATTTGACAGGTGAGTGCATGTACATAATACTTTCTATACTTTTTTTTATGTGGTAGTTCGGCAAACGAGAAAACGTATTACCTAATGGTAATCAATCAGCGCCTCCCATGGACACCCATAGCAACAACAACCTTTTGGAAAATAAAAATTTAAAGATTTTGGGATTGGATTAGGGGAGGGGAATGATTGAGCCTCCGGTAACCTCATTCACACGGCGAAACAATACTGTGGTTGTTTCACATGAGTTTTCTATGAGGCCATGGTATCACTCCAGTCGAGCCGAAACATGGCTCTAGCACACTTGAATGAAGGTATCTTAATACTATTGTTTTATTAGGTTTTATGTCGTTATATCTTATGTTATCTCTGGTTCCAGGATGCAACTCGCTTTGCGCAAGTTCGCTGTGGACGACTCCTCTGTGTCTGGCTACATCTATCGTCGCTTATTAGGACACGAAGTGGAAGAGGTTTTGTTCCGTGTTCACTTGCCAAAGCACTTTAGTGCTCCCAACTTACCCGACCTTAACCGATCTCAGGTAAATTTACTTTTCGCTTTTCAATTGTTTAGTCAAAAATTTTGCATACTACAGTTTTCACTATACACCTTGATTGATTTTACAGGTCTATGCAGTTAAGCATGCGCTACAGCGTCCACTTTCTCTAATTCAAGGCCCGCCCGGTACGGGAAAAACAGTGACGTCAGCCACGATCGTGTACCAACTGGTGAGACAGAACAGTGGACCAGTACTCGTCTGTGCTCCATCCAACACCGCCGTCGACCAGCTCACTGAGAAGATCCATAGAACTGGTCTAAAGGTCGTCCGACTTTGCGCCAAGTCTCGAGAAGCTATGGAGTCGTCGGTGTCATTTTTGGCACTCCACGAGCAAGCTAGGGCCTTAGGCTCCGCTGACAGCGAACTCAGGAAGCTGACCAGATTGAAAGAAGAAGCTGGGGAGCTGTCCGCGGCGGATGAGAGAAGGTACCGCGCACTGCGACGCGCCGCTGAGAGGCGACTGCTGGACGCCGCCGACGTCGTGTGCACCACGTGCGTGGGTGCAGGGGACCCGAGGGTCGCGCGCATGCGCTTCCAGTCCATACTCATTGACGAGGGCATGCAGTCCACCGAGCCCGAGTGTATGGTGCCCGTGGTACTGGGCGCCCGGCAACTGATCCTCGTGGGTGACCACTGCCAGCTGGGCCCCGTGGTCATGTGCAAGAAGGCAGCTAAGGCTGGCCTCAGCCAAAGTCTTTTCGAACGTTTGGTTGTCCTCGGTATCCGTCCATTCCGTCTTGAAGTCCAATATCGGATGCATCCTGAACTATCGCGTTTCCCCTCTGACTTCTTCTATGAAGGTTCTCTCCAAAATGGAGTTAGTGCTGAAGAACGTCGTTTGCATAAAATTGACTTCCCATGGCCGAGACCCGATCGTCCAATGTTCTTCTACGTAACACAAGGTCAAGAAGAAATTGCTGGTTCTGGCACATCCTACTTGAACAGAACTGAAGCTGCTAATGTGGAAAAGCTGACAACACGGTTTTTGAAAGCAGGCGTACGACCGGAACAGATTGGTATTATTACTCCTTACGAGGGTCAACGATCATACCTCGTTCAACACATGCAGTATCAAGGCAGCTTGCATGCCAAACTTTACCAGGAGATAGAAGTGGCTAGCGTAGACGCTTTCCAAGGTCGAGAAAAAGATATAATTATCATGTCTTGCGTCCGTTCTAACGAGCACCAAGGCATCGGTTTCCTGAGCGATCCACGTCGTCTGAACGTAGCATTGACTCGCGCTAAGTACGGGCTCATAGTTGTCGGCAACCCGAAAGTGTTGAGTAAACAGCCATTGTGGAATCATCTGCTTGCCTTCTACAAGGAACGTCGAGTCCTCACCGAGGGCCCACTTTCGAACCTGAAAGAGTCCGCCATCCAGTTTGCGAAGCCAAAGAAGTTGGTGAACGCACAGAACCCGGGCTCGCACTTCATGTCGACGTCGATGTTCGACGCGCGCGAGGCGATGGTGCCGGGCTCGGTGTACGACCGCGCGCGCGCGCTGCGCGACCCGCTGGCCTACGTGGGGCCCGAGCGAGCCGCGCTGCTGCACGCGCCCGTGCCGGCCGCCGCGTTCTCTGCGCACCGCGGACTGCGCGCGCCGCCCGCGCCCGCGCCGCGGCCCGCGCGCCGCCGCCCGCCGCGTCTCAGCCAGGAGCCGCTGTCGCAGCAGCCCCCGCTGTCGCTGTCGCAGGGTGCCTCCCAGCCGGACTTCAGCCAGGAGTCGGCGGCCCCCGACTGCCCGTCGCAGCCCGACGGGCTGTTGTCGCAGGACTCCACGTACCAGGGCGGGTTCCGAGCGCGCTGTAGCCAGTACTGAGAGCGCCGGGCGGACCGCCGCGGGGCCGCGCCGCAACAGCCGACCTCACTCCTCCGGGGTGGAGATCCACGGTACTGACGACAGACGCCGATGCGCACCGACACCTGACCGACGACAATCTCAACTCGGGTGTAGAGACAGACAGAGGCTTCCCCGTAGTACGTTGCGACCGCGGGGTTGAATCGGTTGCGCCGGCGGCGGAATCCGACCGCGACTTTGTTAGTCTTCGCCCATCGACCGTATTGAAGAGTGAAAACTCAAACTTAGAAATTGTGTCACGCGCGGAGCATACTTGGGCAACAAGTATCGTTGTCGAAGGTAAATTGTAACCGTTCCATTACAGGGATACAAATTTTATAGAATGTTGAAACTAAGAACACCGGTTTTACGGCAAGGGTTTAATCAAAACAAAGCCGGCTCTTTGACCGAATTGGTCGAATCGTAAAATAAATTTCATTAGACACGTATGCACCAAAAATCGACATTACTATAAACTTGTTGCTATCCTATAATTATTACACGCGTTACTATTTAACAAATAGAAACGAGTAGACAATGACCTCTCGAAGATAAATCACAGTGGCTAGAATATAATTCTGATAGCTTTAACAATGTAACTGTACACTAAAGAAAGGGGATAGCTAATTATGTGAAACATATGTAAAAGCGACGTCCTGTAAACATATTAGAATTCAAACATTGGAAAAAATACGCTACTTATTTGGTGTTAAAATTGATGTCTTTAATACTAATTCTTTTAAGAATTTACTCTTTATTTAAAGCTTGTTTTCTCGTTTCTAGGTGTATTATTAGCGAATCGCGACGTACAAAAATTTCTGTACTCGAAGCAAATACCATCTCAGTTCGCATGGTAGAATTTGAAATTCATGTTTTTTTTTACATTATAAAACTTTGGAAATGTTAAGCCAGTTAGTCAAGATTTATAATTTGTTAGGCGACACAGTTATTTCTAGTAATGGTTTGTTTTCGTCGTAGGGAAATTCACATCTTCATATGTAACTTCATTATCATTGACGATATCAAACAGTGTCAGATCTACATGTTAGACAAGCAATATCAATGTTAAACGGGGCTATATTGTTTTTCCTTCCCATTCAACTTTCATTCATTCTTCTTTCTTTTCTGACTAAGCTGCTCTTGACAAAAAACTTGGAGTGTACTCCTATAACATAATTATGGCTGTTATATGTACAAATTGTAAAATTTGCTGTAAATTACTATGCTTTCCATCATCCAGGAATTTCTTAAATTATTGTTAATACAAAGCTCTCAACCAAACATTCCTCAAAATTATTTTCTATGTTTATTTATCATTTTTCTATTGTCTAAATACTGTTAAAGATTTACCAATCAAATGTCTTCAATATGAGTAAAAAGTATTGAAAACAAGTAGGTACTGTGGAATAAGGATTTTTGTCTATTTCTGTTGTATGATAATATATTACCTGTTATTATGTTAAATGAAACTGTCTTAGATAGTTACATACATTTTTGTTTGTGAAGGAAAATCAATAAAGAATGTCATAAATATACTATCTTTTAATTGTATTTACTTAATACCCATCCAAAACTGTACGCTTACCCCTTTTTCGAGGTGTAAGATCTTGAGTATTTTGAATACACACTTTTATTATTGAACAGCGAAATTTAAGTTAAATTAGCCTATAATGGTCCCATTTCCTACCTAACCTAGATCAGTAAAAGAAACCAAGATAAATAAAACTAACTAATATGTCAAAACCCCAAGGACGTTTTTGTATTGATGTTCATCTTTTTGAAAATACCCTAATGGCGCCCATACTGCCTATAACCGTGTAAGGGAATATAGACCCTATGTCATAGACACTATACACACTACTCTTGCTTCCGTGGTGTCCCAATAAAATAGGGTATTTTTTTAACTAAACGATTTATTTTGAATCTCCTTAGTATTTCGATGTCCTATTACATTTCTTTTACCCAAGATTGCAGATGCAATAATATACCACGGCTCCGATAGAAGAAAATACAAGGTAGTTTTTAGTTATTAAGGATCTGACACACTTGTCGCCTCACTCAGGTCGGCCTAATTCATTTGATTTATTTTTCCCTTCAAAAAAACCATGTTTACACAGAGTGGTACGATCAAATTAATACAATATCATATTTTATTACCGAGTTCATACTAGGCGATGGTATGATGGTAAAACTATCCTTTGTAAGCCGAAGCAGCGGTACCGCTAGGTACATACTTATGTAGGTAGCTAGATTTATCTACTCACTATGCCGGGAGTCACTCGAAACCCTACCGTTATCAATAAATCAATCCAAGTGGGAGAACAATGCTTCAGGTCGACTGGAGTGATACCACAGCCTCACAGAAAACTGTCGGGAGACAATCACAGCGTTGTGTTTCACCGTGTGAGAGACATAACCAGAAGCACAATGTTTCCCCTCCCCATCCCTAAACCGCCATAATCCTAATCATCACCTGACTTTTGCTTTTCGACTTTTTTTACTAATCCCTAAATCTCCAAAATTCTTATCTTCAAACTCGTGTTTTGGGTGTACATGATAAGCGACGCCCATTGCTTACCAAGGACCTTCTCCTTTATTACTGGATAGCTGACCTATTCGGAAAAAATATACAAGTGTCTAAGGAGTCTAAGATGTCTGCATTTCCCATATAATTCACAGCCATACCTTCAGCTTGCATATAATTTATCTCAGACATTTAACCAGAAGGAAACCCAATAAAAAACCTGGTAAATTATAATGCAATTTTATTTGTATAAACATAGCATTGTTACATAACCAACAATACGAAACGTGACCAGCTTATAAATAAATATAGCATTCTATAGGTATTACATAAACTATCTCATTGTTAACAAAATTAAACTTTAAAAAATGAGATTACAAAACAATATCATAATTATACAATGTGCTGCTTAAAGTTATAAATCAAATATGTTTAAAAGAATTGTTTTTAACGCAAAGTATTGTCACATTGGCACTGTTTTAAAGCTTCTTATAGGCCGATTCAAAAACAGAATTCACGGAATGGTGTTTTAGTTTTTTTTATTTAATGCATAACTTCTTTTCTTGTTACATTATATTTTAATTCTATTCTTGGTATATAAGCTCATTTTAAATATGACTATCAACCGGTGTTCTTTTACTACAAATTCCGAAACAAATAATCTTAACTCCGAGACAAAACTTTCGGAATTGACTTCGAACGTCTATTCTTTATTACCCAAAAAGGTAGCATTATAATACTCGTATAAAAACAAAAATTGTGCGGCTATACTTAAATGTTACATCTTAAATTAATTTCAACTTTTTTTTTTAATACCTTCCTTACTTTGTCATTTCAGTCCAATCCAAAAACATTCCAATCAAAATCTTTCAATGAGTTCTTTATCCAACTAAACAAAATTTTATAAAATTGTAATTGTTACAAGCATGTACTACTACTTGACACAAGATCGCTACGCACGTGTTTCGCAAATATGAAGCCAATTTAAAGCTTTTAGAATATTTTTTCAACGAAATTCAACGCAACTATACCCTTTTGAGAAATTCAATCATCAATTTGAACTTTACGCGTAGCAACATAGGGTTCTTTATTTCGTAACATCAATGTTAGTATCACAACCTAAATACACTAATAATGCCAAAAGGCGTTCAAAAGCTTAAAATTAAGAATATCAAATGTGTTATATAAATATTTGTAAATGTTGCTTACAATTGGGATGTTTCCAAGTTCATAACATTTCTCGATATATATTCTGTGCGAGATTCCAAGAACTATAATAGCTAGAGTGGGGGTTTTTTGGGAGGGGATAATCATCAAATGACTTCTCCCGCCCAGGGTGGGGCGGAAGGGAGTGTCAGACTCTTACTGAATTAAAACCCCCCGTTCGTTCTCCTGCTCTAGGCTGAGAACGCGGTGCCTTATTGCGCTTACCCCGCAACCCCGGCTGAGCTATAGATATGCTGCTAGGAACTGCTAATACTTGAGTACATATCACAAGTTCATAATCAATAATATCAATTAATATAATATCAATCAAATTATACACTCTTGCTTGATCGTCTCCACACAAATTTTATGAAACGAGCACCTAGCTTCACTGCAGACAAATCAAATTTGGGTTTTCAGAAGTACCTAGGCATTTCTCTCTTCTTTAATTATTTGAATAAATGCTTTGACTTTGAGAAAGAGAGAAATAATCTCTCTTATAAAATGGACTTAAAAGTATCGAAAGCGACTTAAAAATTGTTGACCAAGGAAACATCTCAATTTCATATTAAATGTTTATAAAATGCAAAGTTAGATCGCAATCAGATCCTGTTTATTGAGGTAATGGCGGCGGCTGGACGGCAGCGTAAGTAGGATAGTAAGGAGCGAAGTTATTTGGACCTCTAATCATCATGTGGTTTGATTCTCCCCTCTCTTGAATTGTGCGCGCTGAGTACGGAGATTCTTTGTAAACCGGTGTAGCTGTAAGATAAAATATCGTTGGTGAGTGAATAGTAAGAAATAATTCGACATTTATACAATGAAACGTGTTCTTATTATTTATTTATTGACAAAACATTGCTCCCTTTTAGGATTTCCTCCAATGCCTTGGGTGCGTTTACAAACACATAATTTCATATACACTTCACCCCAGGCCCAGAACATTTTTTCAGATGAACACAAAGAGTTACTCCGGTGGGTGCGGTTAACCTACGACACAGGAGAAAATTCTAGTGTGGGGCAACGTTTATATAAAGAAAAAAAAACTAAACATTCAGAATAATTATGAGTCAATCAACTACAGTAAATAAAACTTTACTTACTTAAAGTCGGGTACAATGTTTGGTATGGCGGCTGTACGGGTTGAGCTCCTGGCATCACCCAGCCACCGGGAAGTGCGTCACCCCCTGGAGCTGAAGGCACCTGATTGGGAAAAATAATATACAATTATAATTAAAGGGAATTTACCAATGATGCTCCCACAAAACCATTTAAAATCATTTCAAATGTCTTTCAAAATCAAATAATGTAAAGAAACCTTCTGCCCGAATCTTACCTTCCTCAATCCCTAAATCGCCGTAACCTTTATGCTCATAGGGCCGGCATTGCATTAGTAATGTAGCGGCACTATCACGTCGCTACATTACTTAGATACGATAGAGATAAGACATACATGTTAATTGTTGCACGTTTGTTAGGATAGCTAAATCTGAAAATCTCACGCATCTTCTTAGTATATAAGCACCAGCAATTAAAGTAATAAACAGACCTTAACCATCTACAGTCTCATTATTTACCTTGCCACGAAGTCTGGCAAATTGGTGACCCGACGAAGAACAATCAACATGACTCATTCACCCTGCAAATCAAGCAGCAGCCAACAAGAAGCCTTGGAGATATCAGCCGGAACCGCCATTTTATCCCGTATTCCGGAATTTTGGAGGGACCAACCCAGATTATGGTTTAAGCAACTAGAAGCCATAGTAGCACCACAGAAGCAAGGAGACGATTACAAGTACTATACGGTCATTGCAAAACTGCCAAAAGAAGAAATAATACAGGTTAGTGACCTCATTACTTGCCCACCGCCAATAGAAAAGTACAAGGCTATCAAAGAACGCCTAATCAGTTGCTATGAGGAATCAGACCAACGTCAGCTCCAAAAATTATTGTCTGAAATGGATCTCGGCGACCAGAAACCATCACATCTTCTGCGCAAGATGCGGACCCTGAGTAACGGAAATATCAGCGACGAAACCATCAAACTTCTATGGTTGAGGCTTCTGCCACCATCAGTGACTTCGGTTCTAGCAGTCACAGAAGACATAGATGTGAACAAGATGAGCCAGATCGCGGACAAGATATTAATAAATTCAACACGTACATCACGAAGTCAGGACGGGCGGTTAAGCCGACAGTACGATTCGTCACTTGCTGACACAAGTAATCAGTCCATTTAAATACTCACCGTATTTTGAAAATACCATCATATACCGTCAGTATCTACGAGAGAACAATGGGCAACCAAAGCTCCAAAGATCAAATCGTATATAACTCCGACAGTTGCCTTAATCAAAATGAAGCCGACCATCTCAAAAGTCTTGTCCTGGAAGAGCTACGGTGGACGAGAAACATTGCAATTGGACAAATCCTCATCACAATTGGCATCCTCCTTCTCTACGGAATACTGAAGACCTTAGACAGAAGAGTGAAAACAATAGCAAGAAACAATCAGCACAAATGCAGTGGATAGTTCATCGACTGCCGCCGCCGTCACAACAAAGGCAGCAGTTTTTATTTCCTTCGAATTAGCAACAATGACATTACATTACGCATAGGATGTAATTTATCAGCAAGGTTAAGTTATTATATAATTAGGTACATACTAATTTTTTTCAATTTATATGTTAATTATTTTTAAAAGGGGGGAGTATATGTAGCGGCACTATCACGTCGCTACATTACTTAGATACGATAGAGATAAGACATACATGTTAATTGTTGCACGTTTGTTAGGATAGCTAAATCTGAAAATCTCACGCATCTTCTTAGTATATAAGCACCAGCAATTAAAGTAATAAACAGACCTTAACCATCTACAGTCTCATTATTTACCTTGCCACGAAGTCTGGCAAAAGTAACTTCTCTGATATTGCGGGTGTCCATGGGCCGCGCCGATTGCTTACCATCAGATAATACGTTTGCTCGTATCACAGAAATGTTTTTTTATGTTCATATAAAAAAAATATAAATGCTTAAAAACAATCTATGATGATTTTATTGTTGGAATTATCGCAAGCTTAATAGAATCACGATCTACTCGTTATAGATGTAAATAGATTTTAACTTTGAGGTTGATAAAATAGGTTGGTATATTTCCTTTCTATTTCTGCGTTACCATAAAAGCCAACTAAAACACTAGACACACTAGCGCTCCCTGAGACACCTGTAAAGATCGTAGTTTTAAGGGTTCAGAGGGCCTATCATGACGTGTTAAAGTGTCAATCTACCGGGCGTGAAAGGGATGGAGCTATACACCTTTTATAGCTCCATCCCTCTTAATCTACGATCTTTATTCTGACTGCCAAATGGAAACATTATGGCAAACCATTACTACTAATATTATAAACGGGATAATTTTGTTAGTATTGACGAATGGGCGTTAGTTCATCTTTTGCGTAAAACGACTGAAAGTATTTTGATAAAAATTAGCCACAGAAATACATTACATCCGGGAATCGCATATACGCTATTTTTATTAGAGTTACGCGGGCAAAGCCGCTAACAGAAGGTAGTATAGACTGTAGTGTGACGAGGACAAATTATTGTTGCTCCGGGTCTTGGTGTGATTTTTATGTTTGTAAACGCACAGGAGAAAATACTAGTGTGAGGTAATATTAAAAAAGAAAAGAAAAAGAAAGTATTTTATAGAAAATAGTTTACAGAAAATCAATTGAGAGAAAAAGCTTGTAATACATTTATCACTGTGAAATGCGTCAGAGCTATGTCAATCACATTGCGATTGTGACATTTCTAAAAGTGACTAATGAACGGGAGTCAGATTGCGTAGTGTATAGAGTTTTATGTATCTCAGCTTTTATATTTAACTTTATGCTGGCTTGTGCACATAAACGTGTTTGTTGGTTACCCGAATTCCGGGAAACTTTGTGTTTTAGTGCTCACTAAACTTTCAAAAAGATATTTAGAACTGAGAGTGTTGACTGTTAGTCACTCAAGTCTTTCAGTAACTCAAACAATGGGGCGTTGCATCAGTCGATAAGAAAATATTTCAAGATCATTCACCTTCTATACATTCATTTTGTTTCATACATTTTACAATATACTTAATATTGTGAGGTTTTTTAATAATTTAAGAGAATTAGGCTTATTTTTAGTAGGTGCTATTTGGCGTGAAATAATAATGACGTCACAACGTGCTATTCCATATAAAAGTCACAGACCTTGTTGTATTGGACATTTCAGAAAAAGTATTTAATTTTACTAGCTAAACACAACTATATTCATAAATACCGTAGGAATTTACGAACGTAATGCAATTAATTAGTAGGATCGAATAAAAAAATGTTTCTCTCGTAACTTTAGCTTTAATTTCTAATATTGATTGGACCCTTACCATTGGCTGTCCGGGACTGACTGGCAACACAGCAGGCTGGCTAGGCGAACCCGGCCCTATCTCTCCAGTTTCCGCGTTACTTGGCAGCGGTGCAGATGGCGCCACTTGCCCGACCATTCCGACCAACGGTACAGTTCCTATGGCGATGTATTTCTTGCCACTCATGTTCAAATGCATACCCGATACTACACATTCCACCTGCAAAAAAAGGATTTTCCAAGTTATTACATAATTCATAAAACGGAATTATTTTTTTCTATTACATAAAAATTAAAAGCTTTTTTAACAAAGTTAAGTTAAGTGTGGGAGAGCCATGCTTCGGCACGAATGGGTCGGCTCGACCGGAGTGATATCACGGCCTCACAGAAAACCGGCGTGAAATAACCACTGCGTTGTGTTTCGCCGGGAGGCCCAATCCTTCCCCTTCCCCAATCCCTCCTCAATCCCTAAATCTCCAAATCCCTAATCCCTAAAAGGTCGGCAACGCACTCGTAACTCCTCTGTTGCGAGTGTCCATGGGCGGCGCTGATTGCTTACCATCAGGTAATCCGTCTGCTCGTTTGCCGACTTATTACATAAAAAAAATGGTCATCACAAAACGTCACGCTTAATTATGTTCCTCTGCTTAAGTCGGCAAACGAGTAGACGTATTACCTGATAGTGCGTTGACGACCTGGGTCGTTAGGGATTTAAGAACATATTGGATATGATATAGGTATAGATACGGGGTATGAAGATCGAGAATGGGGAGGGGGAGAATTGGGTCTCCGATAAGCTCATTCACACGGCGAAACACAACGTAAGTTGCTTTACGCGGGTATTCTGTGATGCCGTTGTATCACTCCAGTCGAGCCGGCCCATTCGTGCCGATGGCTCTCCCAAAATAATACCGTTCCTATATGTGGCATACCGCATGTAATGCCATAGGTGGCATTAAAAACTAACTTAGAGATACCAAGTTTGACCACAAGAAGGTTATCCCTATGATTTAAAAAATATATATATTAGACAGTAACTTATAAACCTTCCCTTAACATGTTAAGGCGAAATAGAACGGACAATACACGTACCTATACAGAAAGCCGTTCATGCGACATCCATAATATGTAGTCATTTGCACCTTATGAGAACAAATGGTGTCAATGACTTTTCATTCTTTCTAGCACAATGTTTGCTTTCTATTTAGTTCAATTAAAGGCTTTTTTAGAAAAAGTTTTTATTAAGCAAAATCATCAACTGTATGTATATTTGTTTGACCAAATGTATGTGTGGCATAAACAACTAAGGAAAACATTAGGTAGGCACTACATTATATCGTTTTTCTCATTGACAAGGTTATTTGGTTTTTAACAACATCAAATAAAGAACTGAAACGGTCTAGATTTAAAGTTGAAAGTCGCCTGAAAAATGGTGAAAGCATTGTCAAACTATAAACACACATAGACTTATTAATGCTAATGCAATTCTGTGTAGGTAACTTAGCACGGCCATTTATGTATGTAACAAAACAGGAAGGAAGCGTTTGAACTGACTTGTATGATATCTATACTAATATTATAAAGAGGTAAAATTTGTAAGTTTGTATGTAGGGGGTAATCTTTGGAACCGCTGGTCGGATTGCCAAAATTCTTTCACTGATAGGTAGCTACAACTACAATGTTCCTGAGTGCTATAGGCTATAACATCACGCTACGATTAAATGGAGACGAGCAGCGGGTGAAACTGCGCGAGAATAGCTAGTAATATATACTTTTGATATCCGTAATTTTATTCGGTTTTTTTTATGTAAGTCGGGTTGAAGTTTCATGTCACATAAAACTTTCTATCATAAATATATCTTAAAGGAAAGATGCAAAACCGTTTTTAATCAAACTTGGTACTCATAGCAATATATGAAGGTCTTAAACTAATTGTGTAAACATTTTAGAAGTGACGGTACCATAATTAAAAGATAGTATGGCTCTCTTAATGTCTATCTCGACTCCTTTTCAAAAAAAAATTATAGATGTTCTTAACGTTATGATTGTAATAAACTACGGTGTTCATTCTGTAGTAATATTATGAAGCTGTAGACTGTTTGAACGCGGCAATATCTGGAACTACTGGTTCAAATTCAACTGGTTAATTTGTGTTCGCTAGTCTATTCATCGAGGAAGGCTATATCTGTAGGATCCCAGCAGCCGGTGAAACCGCGCGCGAGTACCTAGTAGTTATACATATATAGCCCATCCCTAATTACAAAAATGAGCCAACAACAGTGAAAATCAAAACCCTGGTCCCTTTCGAGGAACAAAACAGAATGAAATATTTTTCATTCATCAAACAAATTGATTAGCATATCTAATTTTATTCACACCGTGTTCGAAAATTTCGTGTGAATTCAATTTGACTTTGAGTACCTATGACATCATCGTGAGATCATACACAAAAAACTGGCTAGATAAGCCAGTCTGTGTATTACATAATGGAGTTACCTTGGGGCATACTATGGCAATAAAAATACGGCGGACCATGTCATTAACTAGGTTACTACACTTCGCTTTGATTATGGTTTCGCTGGAAAGGATACTCCGCGGCGCAAACAGTTTAAATAAAAGTTTACAACAAAACTAGAGATATAGTTGTGTTTTATAGGATTAGAATTTTATGCTTTTTTTATGTGATAGGACGGCAAACGAGCAGACGGATTACCTGATGGTAAGCAATCGGCGTCGCCCATGGACACCCGCAACAAAGGAGTTACGAGTGCGTTGCCGACCTTTTAAGGATTGGGATCTTGGGATTGGGAAGGGATTGGGGTAGGGAAAGGATTAGGCCTCCGGTAACCTCACTCACACGGCGAAACACAACGTTGTGGTTGTTTCACGCTGGTTTTCTGTGAGGCCGTGGTATCACTCCGGCCGAGCCGACCCATTCGTGCCGAAGCATGGCTCTCCCACACTTAAGACTTTTTAGTCGTGGTAGCTCGCAAGTATGAGACTTGACTTTCTAAGATTATTTAGACACCACTGACATACGGTGAAGGAAAACATCGTGAGGAAACATGGTCTTATAATTTCTAATTATAAGTTCAATATCGCCAATCCGTCTTGAGCAATCGTGGTTGCAATGCATCGCCTGGATCAATGTATTGTTCGTGATACCTGGTTTCAAGAGATACTGCCAAGTTAGATGTCTTTAGAATACTGGATCAAGAAAAGTATTGATCACTTTCCTGGATCAAAATTATCTTATTAATGATAATAATATGACTTGTGTATAGGAAGTATCGCCCTCTGTTACATGTGGGTTATTTATATTATATTTGAATGCTAGCTGCCACGGCGTGCCGCTTTCTATTGTTTTTCCCATTTGTTCATCTTTTGTAGACTTTGAAGCCTATCCTGGATTTCCAGGAATATATCAAGACCAAAATTAACTTAATCGATCCAGCCTTTTTAGCAAGATAAACGAAAAGTATAAGATTTATTTCTATTATTTATTATGTGCAACCTGTAAGCCAATAGAAAAAGCAACGCGATCGTTAGACTTTTTGAACTAAGTAAGTAAATGCAACTGGATCTTGGCGGTACTATCCCCATCTATATTAGGCCACGCTAGAGCACCGAATATTGGAATCGACTATTTAAAATTGCGTGCTACAAAGACATTAAAACCTTGCGTTGCAATGGCAACCGGTCGATTAATAAAAAAGAAAAGATAGGTAATAGGTATTCGAGCTCGTAGCAAAATCACATAAAGACATTTTATTGCATCAAATGTAAAATATTTGCATTCTTTTATAGTTCACTATAGATATCACAGTTCGTTTTAAAACGAACCTTATCTTAATAGTGGTAGAGCTCGTAATGGTATGTTGTTGCATCGCGTCTATTTCCGTACACTGCGGGTGTTACTTTCGCTATTGCGATAACAATGCTTATTTGAAAGTGCTATAAGGAACATCTCATTTTAATAATTGAGTATCTAACAACTGTCACTACTATATTTTTTAAATTTAGAAATTATTAGCCTTGAAGTCAATTTTACTTAGTAAATGGCCTGTGATAGTTTTCGTCCACATAACAAAGTATATTGTATAAATCTTAATATATACGTACAGGCATATACTTAATAGTAATCCAATACATCTTACCTTGAAATCGTAATCTAAATCAATGATGTTACAGTTGACTAGATCTGACGGAGGTATGGGCGGCACTTCCATAGTTAAGTCCCAACTCTTCGTAGTCCCCGCGGGTGCTGGCCCTTCTTGTATAGTTAGCACTACATCTTTGATCTTTTTCGTCTGATTCGTTGGTGATGTGGCTCTGTATGTAACTACCTAAAAATATTATATAATTAAGTTATCGAATAGTTTTCAAATTGTATGTAAAATGAGGATTCCAGATCCTAAAGGTCCCAGGTAGCTAAAGTCTATTCAAACAATAGAATATTTATTTTGCTAATATTAAACAACACAGGATCTAACTTCCACTAGCACCCTCTAGTAAACGTATTGACGCATGACATAAATTAATTTGATCATTTTATCGGGAGTTAAAAAAATATTTTTTAATCTGATTGCCGCTTATTTAATGTAAATATTCAATTGCGTTATCATCGCATCGTAATGATATTAACCGATAATCTAAAAGCAAAAATTCGCCTTGTTAGCTAAGATAAATGTGATCTATAAAATGTTAACAATCTTTTTCGAATACGAATACAGTTACAATACAATAACAACACTGATTGAAAAGCACCTGAATAGAAAAACAATATCATATTTTACTCTTATACAATTTAAAATATGTATTACACTGTCAAGGATAGGTAAATATAATAGTCAAGATTCATTGCCAACACAGCTCATGATAATTGAAATTAAGCGAACACAGCTCAAGAGAACTCAATTAAATCAAGTATTGTCAATTAAAGTTAATTACATAATGGACAGGAAAAAACCAGTTAATGAGACCCGTTTGTAAAATATGTGTACAGTAAGCAGAACAATTCGGCACAGATAAAAAAAGAAAGACAAGATTCCTAGGAGGCCTAGTATGTCGGCTAGTGAGCAATTGGATCTAGAAATATTGTATTTTTTTAAGATTAAATAATTGGGTCTTCAAAAATTGTTTTTCTTAAGATTAAAAAACAATTAATTACTTTGATAGATACTTGGACTAAAAACTTCGAAATAAACACTTGAGTAGGTAATTCCAAATATTTTTTACACATTTCTCAAGACTACTAATTTACAAAGATTAAGCTGTTATTTACCAAAAAAAAACTGAAGACATAATTATTAGACAATGTGTACATGCAAGTGTGTAGTTGTTTTTTTTTTATATTTATTGCCTAACAGAACAGAAAAAGAAGTATTAAGTGTGGGAGAGCCATGCTTCGGCGAATGGGACGGCTCGACCGTAGTGATACCACGGCCTCACAGAAAACCGGCGTGAAACAACCACAGCGTTGTGTTTCGCCGTGTGAGTGAGGTTACCGGAAGCCCAATTCTTCCCCTTCCCAATCCCTTCTTAATCCCTGAGTCTCCAAATCCCTAATCACTAAAAGGTTGGCAACGCACTCGTAACTCCTCCGTTGCGGGTGTCCATGGGCGGCGCTGATTTCTTACCATCAGGTAATCCGTATGCTCGTTTGCCAACCTATTACATAAAAAAAAAACACACGCCTCTATACAAACTATGAGCTCTAAGTAACATCACAATTATTTTTACTCACCTTTCTCAAGAAAATCTTGACCAAATGTAGTTGGACATTACTCTTGTTGTCTACTTCCACTCGTATAGGTATTTTCTGACCGGGCACATACCCCGACACGGGAGCTTGCACGTCAACAGATAAAGGAGGTGACGCACAGCAGAAGCAACAAAATGTCTTCTCTAGTTGAATGTGGATTGGTTCCTATAATATGAAGCGGGCAAAAAGGTTTTAATGCTGTATAGGACAATAAATTATGTTTTTTTAAATGTATAATCTTAGATTTTACAGCTAGTATCTATTAAATAAAAAGAAACTATTTTTATAAATAAATATGTATCTTTTAAAATAGTTGGTAATTTGTTGTGGTTGTAAAGGCAGTGTGTGATTACAAACTTAGTCAAAATTAAATACTGTATTATTATAATTAGCCTTCAGAAGAAAACTCAAACTATTAAATATGAAACTTAAAACTATAACACTGTTCTTAATTTTTACTCACCTTATAAGAAGGGTTGAGATTCAAATCAAATGCATTAATCACAGTAAAGGCCATCTTTGTCTCCTGATCAAACTTCCAGGGCCGGTCAAGGGTAACCTTGACGGTATACCTGACATATCCATATTGACCCTCAAATGATGAAGGCAGGACTGGAGGTAAGGCACAAGTAAAGTTGTACACTTGCTTACCAGCTGGTATTTCTATTTCATTTCCTGTAAAAGAAGCTTATGTTAGCAAAGGAGATGTGAGACAGAGGCCAAGTTCCTACAATAGGTTGTGGGATATATTACAATTCCCTTAAAGTTGAATAATTATCTATTAATTAAACTTATTTTTATACTATACAAATATATGATAGAATGTCCTCTAAAAATAGGAAAACAGAACAACATTGAGAGGCGTGACTAAAAGCTCATAGCTAGTGAGAGCATGGTCCATCGTAGGTCGCATAATTGCTTACCACCAGGCATGATAGCGGCCAAAGACCTGCCTACTACGAATTAAAAAAGAGATGCATGAATATGAAGGAAGTAAGTACAACTGGAGATGACTCATAGTAATGTAACTATATTTTATGTGTCAATGCATTTTAAACTAAACATTGCGTGCAATTTAATTTAATCTCCTTGGAAGTCTAATGAAGATTGACCCTGTAATAAACTGGTCAAATGATAAAACAAACAATATATTTTTGTTTAACAATTGATACACAAGGTTGAAACATATATGTATACAAGTATACTAAGTTTTTCGACAAAGAACACACACCAAAACCAAAAAAAATGTTCAATACATTTTTCTAAATCAGTAATTCCTTACTATATTAATTAAATTTGTGCATTTCATTATGTGAATTACTTATTTAGATGTTTAAGTAATACCTACTGCAGATGCAGGTAAAATATAATATATTTGCAATTTATATGTATTATGTACATAGTTATTGACCTTGATTTGTCTAGTGAGATTACAATAACATATTTACATGCAACAGTTTGTGTCGGGTTTCAAAATATTTATTATAAACTAGCTGTTATCAGAGTTTTAAAAAAGCACAACAATATCATTCTGCAGCCACAACAGTCATATTCATCCTTATTTTATAAAGCTGAAGAGTTTGTTTATTTCATTTATTAAACACATTACAATGACCTCAAGAAATCTGATTGTGGAAAAAAACATTAAAAGACTATATGCTATATAACATCAAGCTGCAACCAATGGAATAGGGGCAGAGAGAAATAGCTGGCAAAAGCTAATAGATTAAATCATAACTATGAAAATGGATAAACAAAAAATCAAATTCGCATTTATAATTTCAAGACATTTAAAATTTTTACTAGGACAGATTTTCGTATTTCATGATGGTCTTTCTCACATTATTATTTAGAAGGTAGTAGGTATTAGTAAGAAGGTAGGAATTATCATTTCGAAGTTTATTTATGTAAATCATAGTGGCTGGAATGGAAATAAGGAGGACGTACTCTCAGCCACTAACTAATAAGCCAAAATAATTAAAAAAAATTGTAAGATTATATTATGTGCAACATAGCAAGACATTTTATTTTACTCTGTGATAATTTCACTACACAAACAAGGTAATATCTGATAGTGTGAGTCAGGTTATCTTAATAACTGTATGTAAACTGTTGAATGTTTGAGATTTCTAGTGAAAATGTATGTTTTTCATTCCATTGACTCATTTGGGTGAGCAATCATCCTATGAATATTGTAAACAAGAAAGTGTGGAAGTATGGGTGGATGTAAGGATGTTTGTTACATTACTTAATAACTAGTGAATGGATATGGATTAAACTTGGCACACAGATACAAAAATTGTAGTCTAGAATAATACAGGCTTCATTTAAGACTTTATTTTCATAAATGTAATGTGGGTGAAGCTTCTGGCTAATGATAGATTGTAATAAATGAACTATGTTAATTTGTTTTTTGTCATAGTTTTATGTCTGTAGAACTTAAAAAGCCATAAAATACAGAGTCCCAAAATAAACTTTTTATTCTCTGACAATGTGGGCAAAGCCATGAGCAATAGCTAGTTTAAGTATACCTACATTTAAATTACTTGAAACTGTATGACTCTTTTCTGATGATCAAAACTATTAAGAAGAAATTTACTTGTTAAGTATAATCATTAGTCTATTGTTTACTTGGCTGTTGATAACAATATTATGAAAATTGTTTGAGAAATCAATAAACAAGAATATTGTCATATTAGTATTTTTTTTTAATATTTACCTGAGTTGCTTCCTAGCAAATAGTAAGACACTTGAAAGTACTCTTCATGTCCAGTGTGCATGGTATCAGTCGATTCTGTCTTCCCATCGGAAGTTTCTTGATTTCTACTTTCACACCATTCTGTATGAGCTTCTCCTTTAAACTTGACATGGATACCTAAAAAAATATTTTTTATTTGAATCAAAATCTTACATTTACGTTTTTCAAGTAGTTAAGTTATTTATTCTGCCCATAAGGATAATCTTACTCAAAATAGTTTACTTCTCATACTCCTACTAATGCATGAGTCAGAGACTGTTATAAAAAATAATCATAGCAACATACCTCGCACTTTTTTAGGACTATCAAACACATATTCTATTCTTCCATTGATAGTTTGGCCAGCGTAGTACGTGTTCCATTGATTATCTAAATAAATATTAGCTTCTTTTATACCCATTATAAGGTATTATCACAATATACCTGAGCTAGAGCTTAGCAAAAGAATTTTATTGAATGTCGGATCAAAATTACGACATCGACTCCCGAATCAACAACGTCAATCCGAAGATTGAAAGTTGTCAAAGCACGTCAAACGTTTGAAGGATGAAGTGTCAATGTATTGTGTGACACTAATGATAATGATATTTTCACGCCAGCCGTAGAGTGCATTTATGATGTAGATAGTATTTATGGTTTCTGATTTTCCGTATACGTACTTTGTCTTCCCTTTGTGGGAACATATAATGTCTAAAGCCCGAAATATATTTCTGTGGAGTGGTGTATCGTTTCGCGTCAGAAGCCTATCGGTAACCTACCGTTAGATTATTTAAGTGATGGTTGTCAAATGTTTGTCACGATATGCCATACAATAGTCTTATCTATCCTTATCCTCATTAGGCTTTTTGGTACTAATACTACTGATATTACAATATAGAAATCGATTTAAATAAAAGGTCATCAAAATATTACCTATGTTATCCCCGAAATCACTGTTTGACAATCAACAGTTCTTTAGAGTTGTCATTTGCCAATGTCAATATTGTCATTGATTGGCGTCCTCTCACTCCTCTCCTCCGTGGGAAACTGCAGAATGTCCGTAATGGGATGTAGACAGACTGTAGCGCTTTTTATCAATAAACAAAAATGTTATTGAATGAGACCAATATTATTAAGAAACAAAGATTCGACGTAAGGTTTTGCTTCCACTTAAAATAGCTCTCTATCTACTAACAGAATAATACTTACCTTATAATTATTAGTACTGCACGTACTCCCAGATGTCAACTTTCAGCAAATTATAGTATTAAAAATATTAAAATAATGGCTGATATTTCTATAATCATACCAGTACATAATGGCGAAGAATGGATAGATAATTGTATGAGTTCTATAGCGGAGCAAACAGTGTTGAAAACAGCCGATTTAAAAATTGAAATCGCTGTTTATAATGATGGCAGTTCTGATAAAACTCGAGAACTTTTGCAGAAATGGGAGGGCCGATTTAAGGCACAAGGAGTTGGTTTCGTAACATCAAGTGGTAAAATCTCAAAAGGCGTAGGTGCTGCAAAAAATGGTGCTATAAAAATAAGCACGGGCAAATATTTATGTTTTCAAGACATCGATGATATAATGCTATCTGAGAGAATAGAGCTACAATGGAAAGCTGCAACATCAAGACCAAATTCAATTATTGGCAGTAAAATATATAGAGTACCTGAAGGCTCAACTCCTCGTTATGTTCAGTGGGCTAACAACCTAAACAGCCAGCAGCTGAAAAAACAAATATACACATCTAATGGGCCTACTTTACTAATGCCTACATGGTTCTGTCATAGAAATGTATATGAGAAGGTTGGCGGCTTTGTAGAAACTGGTTATGGAACACCAGAAGATCTGATATTTTTCTATGCACATTTGGATGCTGGTGGAGACTTGTACAGAGTCGAAAAAGAACTGGTAGTGTATGCTTACCATGAAAGGGCAGCTACATTTTCTGTCAAAAGGGAAAATATTCGGAACATCCAATTAGAAAGATTACAAAAATGTATTTTACCTCATTGGACTTATTTTACTGTTTGGAATGCAGGAAAAGCAGGCAGAAGATTAGTTAGATCATTAAATTCAGAAAACTTAAATAAAGTTGTAGCATTTTGTGATGTCGACAAAAATAAAATAGGCCAATGTGTTGAGTTATACTGCCCTACTGAAAGAAAAGTATTAATAAAACTGCCTGTTATTCATTTTACAGATGCAAGGCCTCCTTTAGTTATATGCTTTAAATTAGACATGACAAATGGTGTATTTGAAAGGAATCTTCAATCATTGAATCTCATTGAAGGAATTGATTATGTTTTATTCAGTTAATATTGTGAAATAATGTATGTGACAAGTTTAAATAACTACATAATTATAATAAAATTATATTACTGTTTGATTAAAGTATTTCATTGTTTTGCATATTAAAGTATTACAACTACATGTAGACACACTTAAAAGTTATGTTAGTGCTAAGTGAGATCATTAAGTTTCATTTTATAAAATATTACATTACACTATAATACTAATGTGAATACAAAAAAAGTAATGACTTATTGAAATGTGAGATCATAATACTAATACTTTGAGCCGCAATATATTAATTTCTATAGAGAAATAGAATTCACATGCATGTAAAATGTAGAGCCTTAAATTAAGCTGGTTTAAAATCTAATCCTTATCTTCTTTGTTCTTATTACCATCAATAGCATCCATAGATATCCTCATTTCACACTTGCACTGTTTAATATATGCAACTCCGGCAAATCTTTTTTTGATCACACTAAAGGACTATTCAAAATGTGCTTTTTAGAACTAAACAACAAAAATCCAGATAGTTTAGTGATTGCTGTTTTGTCTACACATAATGTTACCCTTACTTCAGCATACTGAGTGGCTATTTATTTACATACAAGGATCTTCTGAATTCCAGCAATATTTCAATGTTGAAATATATATGTGTATGACTCAACATGCAGCCTCAGCATCCAGAAGTTCGTTTTGTATTCTATCAATAAAACTATCATCGAAAACAGGAGAAGCTTCACGCCGACGTTTCAGAGTCAATGCTCGAGGTCTATCTTCAATCATCTCTCTACCTTGTTGGAAGAGCCCATACCATTTATAGATCATGGTTTTGCCAGGGCACTGCGCACCGTAGACAGCTTTCATTTCACTCAAAATAGTTTGCGGTCCTTTCCCTTGTTTTGTTAAAAATTTTATAACAGCACGAAACTCTATCTGTTGCATGTCCATCATATTTACGACGGCCGACATTTTTGTTGATATTTTATTGCAAACGATGCTCCTGGAAAGTTTTTACGCGTCGCCAATACTGGAAAAGATACAAAGCTATTATAAAATCGATAACAATGCAATTGCATACATCTAGGTATCGTCAACGTAGGTAGGTTTCTATAGCATTTGTGTGCCTAGCACGAACATTATCGAGAAAGTATTCGTATCGAGATCGAAAGCATTTTCTATGGGATTTGTACAGCGCCCCTACCGTGCGTAAAAGGAACTAATAATCGCAAGCACGAATGATTTTGACAACTATCGTATAGTAATCGTATCGTGTAGCTATCGAAACTTAGAACATTTTGACACAAATTGGAAGCACGAACGATCTTTTGACGTATAGTAACGTAAGTTTCGAAGGCTGGCTATCGAAAACTGTCGAAACATTTCGCACATTGATAAGAAGAGTGACACTAACCAAAAAAGCTGTTTTTTCGGTAGAAGCGTTTTAAGTTTTACCAAACCGTAATGACTAGTTTTGCACCAGAAAGAAAAAAAATATAATATCATGTTATGGTTTTTATTGTAGAGAGCATTAAACACGACTGGAATGTATTGTTTATTTTTATGAAAAAGTATTTTTAAATAAGATTTTCCCAAAAAAACTTTTTTAGTGACGTTATAACATTAATCAAAACGTTCAGTATTTCCTACTTCGTGACAACTTACCGACACAATAACAATAGAAAAAAATACATTACACAAAGAAAAATCAGTTTTTATTTAGAAATAATATTTTATTGCAAAGTTTAATACAAACTACTCAAACATTAAGTTGTTTGCGATGACAACAGCTAAATAAATCACATTTTTATTAATATTTTCAGACTCAAAACACTTAGGTGTTAAAAATGATAATATAAAAATTATATTATAATCCAAAATATTAGACATTCTAAAGATAAAAACTCAAATTAAGGCTCTTGTTTTGTTTATTAAGGCTTTTTTTAATCAAATAGCTCTGAAAATAACGTAATATCACAATCATGTTTAATTAACTTGCACTTAGTAATAATTGAGATCAAGAAAATTACCGTATCAGATTTATTAACTTATTCTTAAAGGATTCTATCAAAATAAGAAGAAACGTAATAATTAGGAATGAGATTTTGATCAATCAACGATTTGATGTCGTTTTTCTTTCTTTCAGCCAAAGGAAGCTTAGCTGCATAAAGAGGTTTCAATAGATTGTTGGCATTAGGAACTTCGTACCTATTACCTGCCTGTTGCCTACGAGTAGCTACCCTATTAGCTTCTAGTCTAATCTCTTTAAAGTTCTGTTCTAAGTAAGATTTCTTATAAAATATTTTGACTGTAGCAGACTCATTTAAATCTTTCATCATTTTAATGATTTTAATATCACCTATCTTAACTTTTTCTCCTTCCGTATTCTTGGAAAAAATATTCTCACATAAACATTTAATATCGTAAAAATCACTATGGCTCATCAGATTAACATTGTATGCGTTTCCTTTTTTTCGTGCGTTTTTTATTGCTGCAATGTACTGGTCAGGAACATAAATAGGGCCAGATCTTAACATTTTTTTTACTTCTCTCTCAATTGTTGAATGCACTGCATCACCCTCATTTTGTGTGTGACCTTTGATTAGGAATTTGTGGGTTATAGATTTTATTGGCAAAGTTTTTACTGCATACAAATAAAGAGATAACATGAATTGGTTTTTTTGTTGCCCACAACAATTATCAGAATAGAAAATAAAATCGAAATCTGGATGTAATAAGGACATTTTCTCTAAATATTTAAACACACACGTCCCAATTTCATTAACACCTCTTTGACCTTCTACTTCTGTCCAAAAAAAGCATTCAGTGTGATCTTTTCCCAGTTCAGAAATAGTGAAATTCAAACAATTCAATTTACTTTTATAGTAAAAGATTGATATTTCTCCTTTAGGCAAAGTCATAACTGCCTGCAAGTCATAACAAGACACAATGCAATTACTCATTTTCTTATCATTTTCCTTCTCTATTCTACTTTCATCCTTTTCTTTTAAATGATCTTGATATTTATCTTCCAAATTTTCTTTTACATCGGCAATCCTGTAAGCTGTGCAAAGATCACACTGATCTTTTTTAGGTATAAAAAAACTAATGTTAAACTCAGTATTAAAAACTTTTCTATAAATATGTATTTTTACAAATTCGATATTTTTTTCAATGCAATCAGCTTTATAATCTCTGTATAAATCAGCAAGCGTCTTTCCTCCGTCGATAAATTCTCTCGAAGTTTGTCTTCGTAGATAGTGACTTTCTATACGAGGTATACTATTGATGTGACGTCGCACTTCAATT